TGAATTTTCGTTGAGATTTTGAGAAAGTTGTAGACGCTTTGGGTGTCATGTTAAAGTTGAACTTTGTCTAGCATCCGTGGACGGAATGGACAGACAAAGAGAACTATCTAGTATGTAGGGGATTTTTGGAGAGCTTGTGTGTTGATCAAGGTGGATCGTGGGATAGTTAACTATCGTTGCTTGAATTACCTACAATGACAATGATCATTCTAGTATCGGAATGACATTGTATGAGGCTTTGTACAGTAAGAGGGGTAGGAATCCTTTGTGTTGATGTGTGCCAGGCGAGAGTGTTGTACTCGGACCTGATATTGTGCAAGAGACGACTAGAAAGATTAAAAAGACCCAAGAAAAGACGTGTTTCGAGAGTTACAATAGTAACTGGTGTCGGTCGAGCTAGAGGTCTCGGAAGCACCCACTGTATTTTGTTGATCTGTATCAGAGTGGCGCAGCGGAAGCATGGAGAAAATAACATGTTAGATTGTTTTACCACTGTTGCTTGTGGGAATTGCATGATGTGTTCATGTGTCTAAGTTGAGGAAGTGCAGTGATTCAGATGGATAGTGTACGAGTAAGAGAGGATTTTATTGTTGAGACATTGCCAGTTCAGGTTGATGAACGAGACGCAACTTCTAGGTATAAAGATTCCTTTGGTGGAGGTAGTTGGGAGATTAGGATGCGAGAGTCGTATCCAGAGTTATTTGAATCAGGTAACATTTTCGAGGACGAAAATTCCTAAAGTGGGGGAGGGTTGTAACAGCCCAATTTTTCAATAAGTGATTAATTGTGCTAATTAATTGGTTTATGTGATTTATCTGATTTAAATAAATTATTGGATTTATTTAAATGAGTTAATGAATTTAATTAAATTATTCTACTTGGTAGAATAATGTGGATTTATTAGATATTCTCTAATTAATGATAAGATGAGATATTTTGTGAGAAATGAATTGATAGGTATTTTTTAGAGAAGAATTATGATGGAAAGAAAATAGAAGGATATATAAGGGAAATTGGAGAGAAAAGAAAAGAGATAGAAACATAAGAGAAAGAAAGAAAGAAAAGGAGAGAAAGAATAAAGAAAGAGGAGAAAAGAGAAGAGAAGAGGGAAACTTGGAGAAATCATCAAGAATCAACTTCAAACTTCAATCCAATCAAGGTAAGGGTGAGAAACATTATTATTTGATCAATGTGTATGATTATGTATGAGTTGTGTTGGATTTGTTGGGTGTTTTTCTCTATTTTTCATTTCTAGGGCAAATGAGTTAAATCGATAGAATCGAGTTTTGAATGGTTAGAATTCAAAATAAATTGCATAGTTTAGTCGGGTAATGTTTAGCCGTGATTATTGGATTTCGTTTGATTGAATTTGGTTGAGTTTGTGAGTTTTGACATTTTTGGATAATTGAGGGTTTGAGATTTGAGTGAAAATCGGACGTCGTAGAAATCGTGTTTAATGGTTCTAATTCACTGCTATATGTTAGGTGAGTATGAGTATGTGTTTGTTTCGAAAAAAAGAATTGAATCGGTCGGATTTTCGGGCGAAAATGCAAAATCTCGTAGCCGTATTTAGGCAAAATTCTGGTTTTTCGGAAAACTTCAAAAATTCATAACTCTTGAACCGTAAGTAGGTTTTGACCCCCGTTCGAAGCGTTGGTAAGTTAACGAGATTATCTTTCTAGAAAAAATATCTTTGAGGCCTGTACCTGGTTCAATTATAGCAGAAAATTGAAAACATATTGTTGTGTTGATTTTTACCGTCGCGAATGTGTGTGATTGATGTGTTATTGTGCAGAATACTTTTATTATATAACGTATAGCTTGTGCATGTTTTGGTATGATATGCTGAGGGTAGCCGTGTGGCGTGAATCCTAGATGGTGGAATCGATTATGAAATATAGTCTTTTGACAAATATATGCATATTGTTTGTATGTGAAGAATGCATGAGAACATATTGTGAATATGTGTGCATTGCTTGATAAATATGGTAATGATATTGAAGTGTAAATGCATATTGATTGTATGCGATATTGTGAATGCATGAGAACATATTGTGAATATGTGTGCATTGTTTGAAAAGGTAATGAGGTTGAATTATGAATGCATATTTGTTGTATCCGATTATTGTGAATTAATGCATGGGAGCATATTGTAAGATATGCGTGCATTGTTTGACAAATATGTTGATGAAAAGTATGAATACTTGATTATATGATATGTTGTGTGTGCAATCTTGTTTAATTCTTGAAGGGAGGAATTATGTGAATGCATGGGATTAAGACGTGTGATCGGTCTTAAGTGCATTTTGTTGTTGATTGCATATGCATCATTTAGTCAAGAGGCAATGTTTGCTAGTTTCGTGGAGGCTAGTGACTTGTCCCAAACCTAGAGCGGGGTTTGAAAGCTTAGGGAACGGGCTTTTGTTGTTATCGGTCTAGGGAACGGACCCGGTTTAAGTGTAAAAACCGAAAAATGATAACAAGTGTTGGTACCACATGGCATGAGTTGCATTGAGTTGCATTGAGTCTCATGGAATGAATATATGATTGTTGTATGAAGTTATGCATAGGTGTATGTACATGACTTGTGTAATTGTGAACTATGGATATGTTTGATGATTGTCCATATTTGCCTATATATATATATATATATATATATATATATATATATATATATATATATATATATATATATATATATATATATATATATATATATATATATATATATATATATATATATATATATATATATATATATATATATATATATATATATATATATATATATATATATATATATATATATATATATATATATATATATATATATATATATATATATATATATATATATATATATATATATATATATATATATATATATATATATATATATATATATATATGCTTTGTGAAGTATATGATGAGTTATGATGAAGTATGGTGAGAATGGTGGAATATGCGTATGTGCATTACTTGTGTAATTGAGAGTTGTGAATATGTGATCATTGTATGAAAGTATGCTTATGAACATGAATTGTTGGTTTGAGAATTGTGAATGTGTAATTGTGAATTAGTGAGTAAACATAATATGTGTATGTTCATGTGGAATGTTGAGATTTATGGATACGTGCATGATGAATATGCTTGGTGATTATCCATATTTGATTATATATATATGTTGTATTGTACATGATGAGTTATAATGAATTGTGGTGAGAAAATGTGGAATATATGTATTTTGTGCTTGTGTATTTGTGTATATATAATTATATGCGTTGTTATTATGATAATATTTCTCACCCTTCTGCTGGAATGATGTCCTACATGACATCGTGCAGGTATCAAGGAGTAGTATTGCTCGTAGTTACGAGGTCGCTTTTGGTGTAGCCGTTTAGTGATTTAATTATGTTGGGTCGAGTCATGCTCTGGTCATGTAACACTGAGATCGCTTCGGTTGTGTTTAAGATATACATTGTGTACTCTATAAACGTGTTTATATCCATTGGAATATTATGATGTTGGTCTTAGTGCCTAAGTGATATTGTTTTATGTGATAAAAATAAATGTTTCTTTTATGAAAATTGTGGTATAATTGAATCCGCTGCTACATGCAAAGTGAAGTTTTGTAAAGCATAATTTTATATTGAAATAGTAATGAGCATGACAGGTGGTTTTGATATTTTGAAAGTTATGTGTAATGCCCTTTTGTAAATGCATGAAAATTTACTCTGATTATTCATATATTATCCGTGGAGTTTAGAAGGGTGTTACAGCAACCCCAAATACTGAAACGAGAGAGACTAAATCTTACAACGTTGAAAATCCTTAGCCATCTAGAGGAACGAGGAATCAACATCTATGAAGCACATACACGATACAGGTATCAGATACAAAACATATTTGATACGGAGATACATCAATCATTGTACAAATAAGGATATGATACATTTACGATACATATGATTAAAAAAAATTAATTAAATCATTTTTTAATGAAAACCACTTGAGTTTGCAAAATTTGAAAGTAATTGGTAAAGGAATTACGAGAAAAAGAAGTGATAGTTAAATTTGAAAGAAAAGTAATTAAAGGAAAAATTTCATTCTTATAAGAGAAAATTGAGAGTAATGAGGTAATTAAAGTTGAGAAAGGAAGAATTAATAAAGAAGATGGAAATTGATTCATATTCTAGAAATATAAATAATCATGAGAATAATTAGTCGCATCTGCAATGTATCGGAGCCGAGTCACTTGCGTATCTGATGTATTGAAATGTATCAAAATAATTTATTTTTTATTTTTTATTGAGTAATTTGTCTTTATAAAAAAATCTAAACATCAAACATTTTAGTTATTTTTTATTTATTTTTGCAAATAAAAAAAAAACAACCAAGTCAGACGATGGTTGTAAGAAACTAGTGAGAAAGAAAAAAAAAGGTAAGCTATCGGCTACTAAACACAAAATCATCTAAATTCAGAAAAACTGTTTCATTCACTCTATAGTTTATGAGTGTGTTCCGAACAGTCTTTAAAATCTTGAAACAAACTAAGTTCTTCAGATTCTTGCATTTCCAAACCACATTCTCTGAATTTCCAAACTACATTCCCTGAAACGCAATTTCATTTGAAATTAACACACAGCAAAGTGTATCAGATTTCAAATATCCAAGCATTCGCATTCGAGTTGAGGTTTGAATCTACTACTAATCCATTTCTTTAAACCCTATATTCAGCTCTTTTTGATTCTCAAATCTCCTTCCTGAATTTCATTTGAAACCATCACACAACAAATTGTATCCGATTTCGATTCATCCGGAGCATTCACATTCTCAAATCTTTTCAATTTTATATATTATTCTTCCTTGCTGAGTTTTGAGTTCTTGCACTGAATTGTGTTTCTGGTTTGACTATACAAAGGAGGGATTCTGCAAAAAGTTTTGTTTAATGGTAAAGAGACAAATTGTCACATTTCTTTGTTTCTCTTTTGTTTAGGCAAATGGAACCAAGCAAAGACTCGCAAGAAAGTTCGAAATACGTTGTAGGATCAACTCCGCTGCCTAAGTCAAGAGAGGATAATTTAAAAAGCTCAGTGAATCAGGATATTGGACTTGAAATGAAAAGGATTATTTATACTCGAAAAGTGGAACAAGGTAATATCTATCTTCTTTTTCTGTCTCTCATTTCAATGTACCGGAATTGCTAATATGATATTTATTATGTAGCAGATATGTCACCAAGTTGTGAGGAACAGATAAATGCCTCATTAAGAACGGAGTGTTTCTCTCTTCCAGCGACCCCTATTTTCAGAGCCTTGGCTGAAGAAATTCCCAGCCCTAAATTTTCAGAAAGTGTAAGTTACCCATAAACTCATTGTGTGATCCTGTTGTATCTTTGATTGATATAGGTGTCTATCAATTTGCATAACATTTTAGAAGACTTGAGGGTCAAGTTTGGTGCATATCACATGCTTTCTCTAGCTTGATGATGATTATTAACATTAAGCTTATTAAATGTATTTATTGGAATACTATTAGGATATAAGTTGTTTGATTTGATTGTGACAAAATTTACATAAATAGTTTGACCCTATACTAACCATTTTTAACACTTTTTTTCCAGGAAATGTCCTTCTTAAGGAAAACACTAGGAGTGGAGTCTCCATCTATCAATGCAACCGTGCATGAGAGCCCTCCATTATGATCTACGATTCATTTGCTACCTAAGAGTCCTATGATACTTTCTTTTAGGATCACCCCTTTCACTCAAAATTACCTTTTTGATACTTGCACAAAAATTGTTTAGTCTCATTTTATGCTTTTGTGTTTTCTCCGATTCAGCTTTTATCATTTTTTTATTGTTTAGTAGAGTCAGTTTCGTAATCATTAGCATCCTAATTCATTGTTTGTACACAAACGGTTGGAATGATGATAATTTGGAGTGAGAATTTGGAAGGAATTAATGGCATTAAGTTGACAATAAATGAACATAAGAATAAGATAAAGTGTGGGTAAATTTGAAAAGGTTCATTAAAGTCTCACATTGGAGGAGGGAGATCACATTTTAATAGTGTTTATATATTTCAAGTGGACAATTTGTGTTGGATCCTAAGGGATGTCCAATTTTGTGGTTGGGTAAGAACACACCACCATGAAACAAAACACATACGTGCACGCCGCTTTCCAATTGGCACGGTCCGGGCATGGTCCAATTCTTTAGGTACCTGAAAAATTAATTAATTTAGGGAAATGCTAATCAGTGCCCTCAGGGCCCTTTTTAAAACTTTAAATAGTAAGTTTTTATAAAAGTATGTGCAATAATGTGTAATAATGTGCATTGGAAATTGAAGTGTTTGGATTTTTTAAAGAATAATTTTCTAATATAGAATGTTTAAATAGTGCCCTGAGGGCACTGGTTAGCAAAACCCATTAATTTATTGTGTGTAATGTGAATTAATTAATTAATGGTTGCCAATTAAGTTTCCCCTCTCCCACGATTTCCTCCACTCTTTTCATCTCACGTTTTCTCTCTCTCATATTAGATTCATGACTATAACTTGTATTGTGTGTATCAGTTGAAAAATATTTCAAATTTTAAATATTTTTGGAATCTCTCTTCCCCATCTCATTCTCTTCATCTATAATTTTTTTCTTTTTCTGATTTACGAGTGGTTTATCGCACCATCGTCGACTGAACTTACTTTCAAATACGAGTGATTTTAACACCATCTGAATGTGTACCTCTACGATCGATTTATCACAGTGCAAGTGATAATCGTAATTTTGAACGGGGTGTTTTATCCTGGAGACATCGTCAAAATGTAACTGCATTGCATAATTTTGCCAGTACGACGAAATGTCTCTGACAAGCCATTTAAGTTTGAGGGTTCTCACATCAAACGTTGGCAAACTAAGATGAAATTTTTTTTAACTTTAAAGAAGGTTGCCCACATTCTGATTGAGGATTGGTATCCGAAATGTTATTTAATATTAATTAATTTATTAATGGTGTGTAATGTGAGTTAATTAATTATTATTATTAATTAATAATGGTGTGTCATAATTACGAATTAATTAATTATTAATTAATTAACGGATGCCAACTAACTTTCCCCTTTCCTTGCTGACCAAGTGCATAACAGTTTGTTTTGAATCCATTCCACTCTCCCACGATTTTCTCCACTATTTCCTCCCACGTTTTCTCTCTCTCATATTAGATTCATGACTATAACTTGTATTGTGTGTATCAGTTGAAAAATATTTCAAATTCTAAATATTTTCGGAATCTCTGTTCCCCATCTCATTCTCTTCATCTATAATTTTTTTCTCTTTCTGGATTTACGAGTGGTTTATCGCACCATCGTCGACTGAATTTACTTTCAGATACGAGTGGTTTAACACCATCTGAATGTGTACCTCTACGATCGATTCATCACAGTGCAAATGATAATCGTAATTTTGAACGGGGTGTTTTATCCTGGAGACGTCGTCAAAATGTGACTGCATTGCATAATTTTGCCAGTACAACGAAATGTCTTAAAGAAAATGACCCAGTACGCGACTCTTCTGATAATTTTCTTGTGCCAATTTTTCAAAACCCAAAAAGAACTTTTTAAATACGATTTATTGTAACTGCCATGCCTACTAAAAAAATTATCGATACTACAGTAATTGTAACACTGCTAAACAGGTATGAGAAACTCTGCAGAAGAAATATTATACTGAAGAATTAGGTGCAAATAAATATGTTGTCAGTCGTTACCTGAATTATAAGATGGTGGATGAAAAATCTGTGGAAGCTCAAAGCCACAAAATCTAGAAGATTTCTCATGAAATCATAACTGAAGGTATGCCCCTCGATGAACAATTTCAGATTGATGTGATAATTGACAAACTGCCCCCTGGTTGGAACGATTTCAAAAATTTGCTTCGACATAAAACAAAAGAGTTTTGAATTGAGAGTCTGATCACTCACCTCCGAATTGAAGAAGAAGCTAGAAGATAAGATCAGAAGGATGAAGTCTTAGTTGTTTCTAACAACAAAAAGTGATTTGGTGCGGTTCTGAAGCCTACGGGAAAACCATTAAAGAATCAGAATCGCAATATTGTGAACCGAATTAAGAATGAGGATCCCTCAAGGGGCCCATGTGCTCCAAGTGCTAAACATCAACCACCAACTTAAAGAAATGATGCTCCGGTTTTCACTTGCTTTAATTGTGGAAAACTGGGCGATATGGCTAAGATATGTAAGAGCATGCCTAAACCTGCTGGCTCTAATGCACAGGTTAACTTGACTGATGAGCAATTCATTGCTATGATCACTGAAATCAACATGGTTGGTGGAAGTGATGGTCGGTGGATAGACACTGACGCCTCTCGTCATGTCGCTATGATCGTGCTATGTTCAAGACATACACGAATGTTGAAGATAAGAAAGTGTTATTGGGAGATGCTCACACCCATGATGTTGCTGGAATTGGAGACGTTGAGCTGAATTTCACCTCAAAAAAGACTTTAATCTTGAAGGACGTCATGCATGTTCCTGAAATTAAAAAGAATATTGTTTCTGATTTTCTTTTGAATAAGGCAGGATTTAGTCATTCTATTGGGGAAGATTTGTACACCATCACTAAGAATGATATTTTTTTGGGAAAGGGTACGCCATTGATGGCATGTTTAAGTTGAACGTTGATTTGAATAAAATTTCTCCTTCGGTTTACTCTTTGTGTGATTTTAATATTTGTCATGCTAGACTTTGTCACGTTAATAAGCGAGTTTTCTCTAATGCAGGCAACTTAGGCCTAATCCCTAAATTAAATGTCAATGGTACAAATATATGTGAATATTGTAGTCAATCTAAAATTACTAAGACGTCTCATAAATCAATTATTAAAGAATCTGATCCCTGAGATCTTATACATTTTGATATATGTGAATTAGATGGAACTTTAACTAGAAATAGTAAACGTTATTTTATCACTTTTATTGACGATTGCTCCGATTACACTTATGTATACTTAATAAAGAATAAAAGTGAAGCCCTTGACATGTTTAAGATGTATGCAACTGAAATTGAGAATCAACTTAGTAAGAAGATTAAGAGACTTCGTAGTGATAGGAGAACTGAATAAATTCTAGGTTATTTAATGATTCTTATATTAAACATGGAATTGTACATGAGACGATTGCTCCATATTCTCCTGAAATGAATGGTAAAGCATAAAGAAAGAATAAACCTCTTACTGAACTTGTTTTTGCAATTATGATGAATTATGGTGTTGCACCTCACTGGTGGGGGAAAATTTTATTGACTGTTTGTTATGTCCTGAATAGAGTTCCCAAGTCAAAAAGTAAGATCTCACCTTATAAGATATTAAAGAAAAGACAACCAAACTTGTCTTATTTGAGAACTTGTGGCTGTCTGGCTTATGTCAGAATTCTGGATCCGAAACGAGTTAAACTCGCTAGTAGAGCCTATGAATGTGTATTCATTGGGTGAATGAATTAATTATTATTAATTAATAGTGCATAACAGTTTGTTTTGAATCCATTCCACTCTCCCACGATTTCCTCCACTTTTTCCTCCCATGTTTTCTCTCCCTCGTATTAGATTCATGACTATAACTTGTATTGTGTGTATCAATTGAAAAATACTCCAGATTCTGAATATTTATGGAATCCCTCTTCCCCCTCTCATTCTCTTCATCTATAATTTTTTTCTTTTTCTAATTTACGAGTGGTTTATCGCACCATCGTATACTGAATTTACTTTCAGATACGAGTGATTTTAACACCATCTGAAGGTGTATCTCTACAAACAATTTATCACAGTGCAAGTGATAATCGTGATTTTTAAATGAATTGTTTTATCCTAAAGACGTCGTTGAAACGTGACTGCATTGCATAATTTTAGCAGTACAACAAAACGTCTTAAAAAAATGACCTAATACGCGACTCGTTTTAATAACTTCTTTGTGCTAATTTTTCAAAACTGAAAAACCAACATCTTTGAATATAGAGAGAAAGAGAAGAGTTAAACTGTATATACTGATTCAATGTGTATACATGTTTTTTTTACAATTCATTTGACTTTCAGAGAAAAAGAGTTAAAGGATAAGCAACGTTAAATTGGAAATGTATTTTAGAAGCACATATATACCATTGACTTAAATCAAGGTCAACTTAGGTCCGAAATGTAATGCCATGTTTTATTAACTATAATATTTTGTTTCATAGGTAATGAAGTTCCATATCTTAATAATGACCTCACATATGTATATGTGGCACATGTAGAGAATTTAATGACTCACATATGTATATGTGGCACAAGTAGAGAATTTAATGACTCGAGAGGATGTTGAAAATAATTTATAAGTTGGGAAATCTCTTTAGCAATTAGAGAAAGGTTCTTTGGATTGACTTATTTGCTTATATTATTAAAGTTGTATGAGACTTAAATTAATAAAGGAAAAAGAAATCTTATATACATAATAAGTTAAAGGGAGTATATATCTTACTTTTGTATAGTATGTGGATTACATAAGCTTCTTTGAATTGACTTATTTGTTTATATTATTGAAGTTGTATGATACTTGAATTAATAAAGGAAAAAAAATCTTACATACATAATGAAGTTAAAGGGAGTATATATATCTTACTTTTGTATAGTATGTGGATTACATACTAATGACGAAAATAATTTTT